ACCACATTCTGGATCATCTCAGGCAAGATTTGGTTTGTATTTGGGATGGAATTCCAATGTAAGTGGTGAAGAACAGCGTCAACAACTTCAAGAAAAGGTTGAAGGCCAAAGTCAAGGCCGAAGATGGCCAATTTGAGTGAAAATTACGTCATATCTGGTCCATTGTGTCAGAAATATGCTGTGCAAATTTCAAGTCAATCAAACGCGCTATTTCTAAACAAATTACAGTTTGGTTCGTTACACTTGATCTGGACCACCCTGTATATAGACAATCGTGATTGAGTGACTGTGAGTGAGTGAGTGACTGACGCTAATTCTAAGCATGTTCTAGAGTAGTTAGAAATCTGAAACTTGTACACAAATACATATGGGGATGCAGAGTTCGGAAAAAATCCGACTTCGGAGGTACGTACTACATACAGGGTGGCGCAAAAGTTCCAGTCGTCTTTTCAAATTTCAAATTCTATTTAAAATATCAATTATTTTCAAACTAATGTGAGACAAAAGAAAATTCATAATATTGGGAACACGATGAGATCATTTTTTCTTGAAATGACTACCTCCGACATCGATACACAGCTTCCATCTCTTCGGGAAGTTGTCAATGATTTTTCCCAGTCTCCAAAGAAATTTCATCCCATGGCTTCTTCAGAGCTCGCTTCAGTGATTAAATTGATTTGTGGGGCTTTGCAGAGCCCTTCGACTCCAAGATACCCTAGATTGAGTATTAGAAGGGGTTGTGATCGGGCGAATAGGGCGGCCATTATTGTGAAGAGATGAAATCCGGGAAACTGTCTCTGATCCAATCTTGGGTAATTCGAGCGTTATGTGCCTGTGCAGAATCCAGTTGGAACGTCTATTCGTCTCCGAAATGTCCTTGTGCCCACGAAAGCAGTTTGCCCTCCAGAATTGGTTTTCGGTAGATCTGTTGATTTATTTTGACTCCCTCCTCAAGGAAAACGAGTAGAGTTTTGCCATCGCTTGTAACTCCGGCCCAGACCATGACAGACTTTGGTTTTTGACTGCGGCCAACAACCATGCCTTGAAGAGGAGCTTCTGCTGCCCAAATCCTGTCGTTTTGGTGATCGTGTACCTGCTCGATCGTGAGGAGTTCCTCGTTCGAAAACAGATCGATTTGTGTCGTCCAGCAGCGAATCGTCTTTTGAAAGTTTTGCATTTCTCCAGTCGAGTTCATTGCGTCGGTGAGCAGATGGGCTTCTTGTAGCTTGTAGGCCTTGAGCTGGAGATAATTTTTGAGTATTCGCTGAGTTGATCATCGGGAAATTTTGACAGCATTGGCGAATTTCCTTGACCACCCGGGATTCCTTTGCATTCGTTTCTTTATCTTCGGTTGATGGGCATGTTTGAAGTCCTCGGACGATCACTGCGAACACGGTCATTATTGCTCCCGGTCTCTTCATAATGTTTGACGGTATCGGAGACGGTCATGGCAAATTGAGCAAGCAACCGATCTCAAGAATTCGCTTTCCTTCTTCAAACAAGCGAACAATTGCAGGTCGAAATGAATTCATATCTAAAAAAATTAAGAAGGCAAATGAAAAAATGTAAAGTGCATCTGAAAGAAGAGAAAAATGCTGCAAAAAAAGTCAATCGCAAAAAAAAATATTATTTAAAAAATGACAGGAACTTTTGTGCCACTCAGTATCTATTACTTACTAGTCAAGTGCGAGCTTTAAGGACGAGGCACGTGGAGAATCGAATTGACTACGCTCCCTTTGTAGATCTTGGGACGGGAGGAACCGTGTGGATTATGAGGTCGCATTAAAACACAGACTTGCCATGCCTTCTTTTTTGGGCTGGCGAGGGAGTCTAGTGGTTTCAGTCTTGGGCTCGCAATCCTCTAGGCGCTTGCATCACAGGTTCGAGTCCCAGCCATTCTCTGTCTTTGATCCTTGTGTCCTACTATCTTCTGGATACATTTGCAACATCTCTGGGCACCCTGATTTCTGAATTGACGACGTTGGGTCGCATACCCATTCGCCCTTCTTATGGAAAAAATCTAATATACGAGTTTCTTTGCCCTTCGGGCAAAAAAACTCGCTAGCATATATATACAGGGTGCCCGGGAAAAAGTACACCCTTATATATTTATGAGTCTCTCGGCAACCAGTATACTAAACTGCCTAACAATTCGAATAAACAGAGTTCAAATAGTCAGGAAACCCTTATTGAAACTTTAGGCGCATCAGTTTGACTTGAACCCTGATTCATACCATTTAATGAAATGATCTCGAAATTAGATCAAACGATGATCTCATCCTGTCCCTGTCTTCCTACTCATGGGTGAGACTTCGGAGAACCTATGATGTCGCTCTTGAATTTTCCCGCTCACACAACAGAGCCGAAGTACGAGTCGCTTGAGAGTTTCCGGAAAACTGAAGCGACAGTTCTTGGATGTTTTAGTTGAATCCGGTGAAACATTCGATGAGAATTCAAGAGGAAAAATCGGCCCTAGCGAAATGGCGAAGATTTCCCGCTGGGCGTCAGTCGAAACGCAAAGCGACCACTACATAGAATATGGAATAAGGAATATTTATTTCTCGGTCCGTTGCTTGTCCCTCGAGAAACCGGATGTGTGACCTCGCAGTGTGCACGTCATGACCCTGGTCGTCAAGGTAAACATCATTGAAAAATCAATGGGGGGGGGGGGGTCTCAGCACAGACGACATGCGTTTCTTCGTATGACCACTTCAGCATGCGATCTCTGTCCCTTTTTTTTCTCTGCAAAGTAACGCTTCTTTTAAAAGTCATTGAAAGTAAACGAAGCGCTCTCGAGTCCACCATGAAGTGCTCTGAGGAAGTCCTCAGGATGCTGTGGAGATGATAATTTCAATGAGAAATTGTAGAGTGATAAAAGCAAATGTTTGATTTCCTTCTTGAATTTTAAGGAATTTTGCGATTTCCAAAGCGTCCTTCGGTGTCTCAAACTCAGAAATAACAAAATCACATTTCGATTAGCGCAGAGAGATACCGAAGACACTACCGAAGATAATGTCTTCGGTAGTGTCTTCGGTAATTGACGGACTTCCTCAGAGCTCTTCATAGTGGGCTTGAGTTACTTCCTAGGCGTTTCCTTTGGAAGCAAAACTGTAAATGAAATGCAGCGAATAGAATATCGAGATCGTCCGCGATGTTTCAAGTTCGTTGACGACTTATTTTCCTTCAAAATCCCAATAATGGGGGCCAGTAATGAAGTCGAAGCAATTGGGAATCGGGAATGAAAGAAGCAATCACTCCAAAGAGCATTCTCAGCCCCAGAGTGGATCGTAGGTGCAAGTTTGAGATTTCTCCTGTTGATAAACATACGGTGTTCATTCGAGGGGAATGGGAAGGGCTATTTGGTTATTCAAGCAGGGAAAATCAATAGGACTGCAAGAAACGCCACAAAATTCGGCCTCTAATCGAGTTTACGGTGAAAAAATGCTGCAAGCATGTCAATTGGAATCCGCGAGTAAGAGATTCATATTTCATTTTCGGCTTTCCGTAGTTGAAAATTGTCTGCAGAAGTATAGGTGAAAAGCGACCGCATTTCTGGCAAAACGATATATGTTATCGTCCGTGAGGAAAAGGTCGTATTAGGAGACACGTGGTTTCGGCAATGAAATGTCATTTTCACCGTTCCGAAGGAAATCATCCTCTATTACTGTCCGACGTGAAACCGAATGTGGAATACGGCGACTGGAATCTCAAGATCCGAAGCGGAATCTCGAATACATTTTTGGACCCGTTTCCGGATTGAATTCCCTATGGACGAGCAGAAATGAAGTCGAAGCAACGGCGAGTGAATAGAGTGCTCGTCACTCAGAATTTTCCTTATTAGAGCGGATTGCAAATGCAAATTTGAGACATTTCGAGGGGATTGCCATTGCACGTTCTTACGAGGGGAAAATGAATGGATTTTCATTTCCTAACTGGTTAGAACTCAAAGGGCTGCGGGATAGGCCATATGTTCCACCCGCAATTCAGAGAACTATGAATAAATTTATCCCTAATTTTGAATGGTGTCACTCCGACTTTAAACCGACTATTACCCATTCCTAATGTGAGATCAACTCTTAACACATATTGACAAGTTGAAATTAGTGTTTTCATTGGTGGGTCATTTTTGTTGTTCGATCCAGCTGAAAAGCGCGCCTGAGTGCCGAATATCGTCATTTGTGCCGAAACCCAATTTCCTCGATGAATTTCAATCGTCGAATGTCCGTTTTGTGTCTTCCAAATGACGAGATATAGGGAGGAATGCTGAATTTCCGATATAAGGTGACGAAAATATCCGCCCGTGGGCAAAGCCTGCTGAGCATCATTTTCTGCGTGCCGAAAGTTCTTGAACGCCGATATCCCAATTCGCAGCGTTGTTCCCCTTCCATTGAGAAACAAAGGGGAAAATGTGCCAAAATAAATTACAATCCTCATGAAGGGGGGATAACAGAAAGTCTGAAGCTCCTTGATAGCGAAATACCCCGCTTACAACGATTGGCTCATCAATCACACCAATTGTAAGATTTCTGAAGATGTGCAGCGAGTTCCTATCATTTAGCCCGTCTTCCATTATTGTGGTAGTGATCCGACTGAAGAGGTTGCTTCAATGACTTTTCTCATCGAATGTTGGTAAACTCTGTCTCCGACTCGAATTTGGTGCCACCACTCTTCCATTTTCTGTCTTCCGCAAACGAAATACGAGGAGGAATACCGAAATGCAGATATGGGAAGCAGAAATTGATTATGCCTTTCGGAAAGTCGGCCGAACATCTCCTGCGCGCCGAAAATACGCTTTCTTTTGAGAATCTGGGGAAAAGTGACAAACGTCATCTGGGAAGTGAAGAAAGTGGCTCGAAGTAGCGCGGAGGACAGGTAGATGGAAATGCGGCCGATATGACTGGCACGCGCGTGATTCGCCAAGTGGCACGCACGTGACTAGGCGTAGGCAGTTCCATCCCCTAGTCCGAATCACTTCTACGGTTCTCAGAAACTCCTGGACGATGGGACAGCCCCAGTCCGAGGCCTGGAGGCTCGGGGTCTTCCTTGGGCCCGTCCCGACGATAGTGAACGATGGAATGGATCCGTTCCCGACCGGGTGGCAAGATCTCCCTCCCGAGGTGAGTGGCATGCGAGCTTCTAGGTCGAACGTCGACGACAAAATGTGTCGGATTGTGAATGGGATGCGGAAGGGGGCTTCAATTTTTCTCGCTACGGGGAAAGGCAATTCCTCGGGTGATTTGGAGTTTCATTTCCCCCGTCATCTCTCGTGTCATCGACTTCGGGGCTGCCAGATTGACCGAGGCCTTTTTAATGACATAATCATGAATGATTATGTCATTATCATGAATGTTGCCATGATGAATATCTTCATAGACGTACTTAGTAGGTAAGATTCAAGTTCCTATGAAATGCCTTATCAGTTATTATCCTCTGGGATGTAGTACTCATAAAAAAAAGCTGTTGAGGGCCATTATAAAATGCATTCAATGCTCTCCACAATAGAATTAGAAGCTGCGAAATTCCCTTGTCAGAGATTGTATAGTATTCACCTTGATCGCTCAAATATGTGTGGCATCTGCGACCCTAACATGGCGTATATCTTAAGAATATGCAAAATATATGGAACGTCAGAAATAGGATTGGTGCTGAAAAGTTTCAGCAAGACCTTTTCCTTGTCATTTATATCATCAGAGATCCCAATGTCACGGAGACTAAACTCACGATTTTCATTGTCCTGGTATCTCCGTCATGTGAGTGTTTCATAATTCAATGACTTTTCCTTTGCCCTGGGGCAATCTGGCTATGGTCTCTCTTATGGAATACACAAAATGAACATAGAACTGGCTACGAGAAGTTGAGAATAATAATAACAATTCCCACGTTCAGGATTATGATATCCACATCGAGGGCCACCTCCCTCTCATTCATAATTAACGCAATAGGCATCTTTCCTACACCCCTTTTCCACTCGAGGTCAAACTGGAAGAAAATCTGGCATGCCACATGACCCACTTGGCTAAGAGGAGATTCCATGGAGGCGATCGCTTTCTTCGACTTGGGCTTCGAATGTGCACGGTCAGGATGATGGAGGAATTCGGCGGCGTGGGCTCTTCCCTCCCCCGGACCCAACGCTTTCCCTTTTCCTAGTCCTCGTCTATTCATTGCATGCAAGGATGTTCCATTTTGAGCTGTTGGGCGGAAAGGTGCGACATTTTCTATCGATAAAAAAACTGGGAATTGACTCACACCTGTAAACTAGACGTAAACAGTTCACAGCACTAATTTTTTTTTTAGTGTGCCTCCTTTCCTGAAAGGAAAGAGACCACTTATGGTCCCATCTTGTCCGTCTGTGTGTCACACTTCGGTTGTCCGACGATAAATAAGAAAAAATTTGCATGACCAATGCGAAAATTGGCAAGCAGGTAGATATGAAGATGATACAGGCTGAGTTCGTTTTGTAGCGAATTTGCCAAAAAATTGCCATTTTCATCCGGAATTTTGGAATTGAAATTTCCTCACCCGGGAGGGGGGGAAGGCGTGAGTTCCTGAGAGACCTTTAGAATCTGGACCACAATGCGCATGCGCGTAAGACCCAGGCCTACGGCGCGGCGCCGTGTCCCCAACCAGTCCTGTCAGTTTTCTACTAGCCTTCATGGCGGATGGATGGAACCACGCTCATCCCTCCATCCTCTAATCATCATTTCATGAACATCATAGGTAGACTTGCCAAACCTAACTGAGAGATTAGATTTTTGATGGTCGAGGGCCGGAAAGAGATGGCATTATATTCAAGTAGGTGACAAAATGAGGGTTTCCTTAAATGAAAGGAGGTCCACCCCTGGACTGAGCTTGCCCATCTTGTTTTTTTTTTGGTATTTCACTTCAGAGCGGTCATAATGTTCTTCGTTGTCGCCAACAGGTGCAGTTGGAGATATTTGCGTACTTGGACTGGGAAGACATTCTCTCCGCGCGTCTGGTGAGCCGACGATGGCGGGAGATGGTGGATTTTCAATTCGAGGAGAAAGGAAAGGTCGTGTGCGATGCCTCGTATGACTTGGACGTGGTGGGGATACTGCATCGGCTGTCGTCGTGGCCCGTCGTGCCGCGGTCGCTGGTGTTCAAGAACGTGGCGCTCGATCGGGCGGTGTCGAGGGAAGTTGAGGAGATGATAGAGGGAGTGAGGGAGATGGCGCTGGTGTCGTGTTCGATTCATCCGGATGCGTTGGTGAGACTGTTGGGGGCGTGTTCGAGGCTGAGGCGCTTGTGCGTGGACGAGCCGGGCGTGTCGTTTCTGTGCCTTCTGCTGAGATTGATGCCGAGGTCGCTGCCGACGGTGACGAGATTGGAGTTGAGGTCGACGCGTCGGCTCGACGATTCGCTTCTGTCGGTGTTTTGGGAAGCCTGTCCCAATCTGGTGGAGTTCTCCCTCTCCGCCACGAATTTTGCCTCAAATCCAGCCATATTTAGTCGCTTCTATCCTAGAGGCTCGGAGGAGCCGTCGCGGTACGTACTCACGATGGGCCACCTCGAACGTCTCCTGCGTTCCAAGGAGGGGTTTCGTTCCCTCGCCCTCACTCAGATGAACTTGAACTCACCCTTGCTGGTCAATATCCTATGCGAATCGTCCATCGATCTCTGTTTCCTCGACCTGAGCGGCTGCAAGGAAGTCTCGTCGGGGTGCTTGACGGAGATCGTCAAGAAGCAGAAGTCGCTCCGCGGGCTGCGGCTCGTGGGGACCGGTGGCGTCGCCGATGCGCTTCTCTCCAAGATCTGTAACCTCACCTTCTTGGAGGAATTGTGGATCGGGGATGTGTCTGTGTCCTTTTCGAAGGATGTCCTCGAGGGTCTTCATCGGCTTCAGGACTTGAAAAATCTTCACATTACCTGCCACGGTGAATTCTGCTTGGGAAACAGGGGACAGCTGAAGTTCTTATCCCTCGAGTATTGTCGTCTGACGCCCAATCTCGAGCAGACTTGCAAACCTCAGCAGATGAGGGAATTGTGCCTCGAACATTGTCTGACGATCACAGATTCTGATATGCAAATGCTCCTGGACTCTTTAATGAACCTGGTCGTTCTGAGACTTGGAGATCTTCCACTCACGGACTTCGCTTTCTCCTGTATGGCGAATTCTCCTTGTACTGGGCACGGAGGTGAAACTAGGATTCATATTCAATGAAGGTCTTAGGTTAGTTCTCAGTAAAATGTTCAGCTTTCAATAATGCATATTGTTGGGCAACCTCTGGTATTTTGCATGTTCCCATGCATAATTATAAAAGTTCTCTGTATCAAAATTTGAGTTTTGCAATGCATATATTTAGCAGTCCAGCAATAATGGGATAGTACAAAATAAAATCAAAGAAGAGTACTCAGTAGACCATCATAATGACCTGAAAATGTAATATTATTACAAAAGTTTCCTTAAAATAAGGCCTCTACCTGAATCTCCAAAACTACTAGGTAATCTAAATAGAAGTTTCAGTTTCTTATTTCCCTGAAATGGGAAAGCTCGTGGTCAGGAGATCTGTGTAAGAATAATACTTTATCAATTCAATATACCCTAAACATGTAATCTCTGCTATGTTGATTACATACGGTGTGAAAATTAGTATAAGAATGATGGACGGTGTGCAAATGTTAAATAGTCCTTATAAGAATATTCATTAGAGGTTGTATCTGGAAATTTCGCGGCATACGGCATCTAAGCAGTAATATTCATCAGTATTTGCTTCACAACTTCTATTCTGAGCTCATTGAAAGTTTTCTAAAAGGCCATTGTGTTACGAAATTCAGAGGCTTGAAGGTAAATTAAAATACAAACATCAAGTATATCTATATCTTGACCCCAGAGAAGATGAATACCCCGAAATTATAAATCCTACTTACTCAAGGGGAATACACTCTCTGGAACTCCCTTGAGGCTTCTATTAGAAAGAAGTATTTCCCAGATAGCACCCAAAAATCGTGAGGGAAATGAAATAAGTTTCCATACACAGAAAGGTGACGTTTCCCGTTCAGGCTGACACTACTCTTTGCACCACATCCCCATTCCAATAATTTATGAATGTCATTTTTCTAGAATGTTCTTATAAAACATTCTAATGTAAAGCTTTAGAATGAGAGAATTTCAAAGTCATTCACGATTTTATATTGGTTCCAGGAATCACTTTATCGGCACTGAAACCCGAGCTAAGGGATTTTTGGGAAGTGAGCGTGAAGAGCGTAGTTGAGAGACGCCTCGTGAGGGAAATGAAGGCCCAGGTAGCATCGAAGGAGCTGCTTCTATCCGCTGGCAGCGACTTGGACTCTCCCTTGAGGAAGCTGAAGCGTGAGTGTGACCACCTTCAGACCTCCGTTGGGATGAAGGTCAGGGTTTCGAGGATGACTTTCTCTTGTCAGGGCTGAAGGAGCTGACGTTGACCAGGATGAAGTACGTCTCGGACGCGAGCGTTATACTGGGGATTCGAGACCAGGCTCTTACTCACCTCGATTTCTCGTTTTCGCCCCTGGTATGCTCCTATTATGTCCATATTCTATATGAGAAAACATAACGCTATCTCTTTCTGGAAACTTGAAGATATACAGTACGACACGAATCCATGCACCTTTTCAATGAATTTCACCTCAAACACTTTGTCTTTCAGTACCAGAAAAAGATTAGTTCATTTCTCAAATTAAGTAGCGTAGAAATACCTTTTCACAGGCTTTTCCTCTTCTTGAACCACTTCCCTCAAAATTTCCTGGATCGATTCAGTGTTGAGACGGTAAGAAACATGTATAGTTTTGTTTCTTTAGCTGCTCTCAGTAAGGAATACAAGGAGGTGGAATTTGGTAATGCGGGCTAGTTGATGAACGAGAACAGGCACAACCAATGCCTGTTGATTTAAATCAGTAGCAAGAGAGTGATGAAGAATACATATTAAAAAGGGTGTCCGATTTGTTTCAGACGTAAGAGCATCCTGTTCTTATTCTAGTTCCGAGATTTGAGAGTACGGACTACATCATAGCGTACTCATTTGCTCCTCCCGTCCACCTCCTTTTAGATCAGTAATCTGAGCCTGGTCCACTTGAGTGAGTTACCCAAGGTGAAGTCTCTGAGAAGCCTCGACATATCGGGCTGCCCTCAGACGTCGGACGAGGGCCTCGTCCGGCTGCTCCCCCACACACCTCGTCTACAAGGATTCTCCGCCCGGGTTGGTTGCGCGCTCTGGCCAGATCCACCAAGTTCTTTTGAAAGGGTTATCGATTTTTCCGTTTTTCAGGAATCTTTGGGCGTAACGAAGGTGACGTTAAGGTGTTTGGAGAAGCACTGTCCAGAACTGAGAAGGCTAGAGACAGGGGCGTGCACCGACCACCTGGATACTCTGGGGGCCAAACTCGATACTGTCTTCTATTTCGATCCTCCTGATTTCTGTCAAGATTGGTGGCTGTAGTGTTTCCACTATGATTAGATGTCTCTCAAACTAAATTCTAGTCCAAGCATTTGGCTGCAGAAAATAAAATGGTTTTAAATATACCATTAATTAAAATTCTTCTGCGTCACAATCGGTTGCCAGCTGAGACACAGTCGACATGGCTGCAAAAGAGAGATAACGGCATCAAAGATTTGGCCCTCGGCATATAAACGACCTCAAGTCCGCAGAAGGTAACATCCCAATATTTTTTTCTGAAAATATTGGACAATAGCTGAAATTTAAAATGTTCCGACAAATTTGCCTAGAATTGCTGCGAATTGACACACTTTGGAGCGATAGACCCATGGAACTTCCAAAAGTTTAACTTAAAACAATTATCAATGGATAACTTCTTGCTTTCACTTCGCTAAAAATAAATTGAACATATCGGCAGCATTACTTTTTCCCTCCATAGAGAACTATTGATAAGATGGTAAGTTCAGGAAAAGGCCTTCTACCTTCCCCCCCCCTCCCCCCCCCAAAAAAAAGGAATGTAGGAATGTGAAAACCAGTTTCAATGGTTTACCTTTCTTCAACCTCGACCCAACCTCACCCCCCTCCCCCCACCTTCTCTACGGAACTCACTAACGTTAGGCCTAGGCCTAACCGACGGACTGTCTTCGGGTCAGGCCTAGGCCTACCTTGTTTCGTTCAAAAGAAACTCAATCCTCAGCCTACGGACCAATTAGGCTGATAAGGATGAATCCCTCGTCTTGGAGACACCTCGTTAAGGACGTGTAACCTTAGGCCGATCGCAGGCCTTTTCCGTCTCTCATGGCCCACTTAACAGAGAACGTGTATCGTTAAATCGAATGTAGGTCTTTTTCGCGTTTCATGAGACATTTCAGTGCGGTCGGGGGCCTATTAGGTCTAACATTAGGCCTATCCAGAGTTCCTCGGATCTTCTCGACTCCTAAGAAAATGCCTTTAGAAAGCATGACAAACGAGCTGGCAGCCATCATGGTAATTTAAGGATGTCCGATGAGATATTTATATATTTCCGTATTCCACCAAATCGATCGACCACTGCAAAACACCGCTTCATTTTCAGCTCACCCCATGAATTCAGCACAGCAATGGTTCCTAAATTAAAAAGAGAACATCCAGACAACGATACTAAGGCTGAAGAAGCCATGAATCGGACATAACGCCGGCATGATATCCGGCAACACTGGAGGACGTGACCGGAGCCATTGCGCTAAGCCTAAATTAACGGCATCTAATTTAATTTTTTAAATGGCGAAATGGTACACTGAAAGCCAAAAAAGGGGACTTTTTGTCACCTCTGGGTCATTGTCTTTGATTTGGTTGTTCAATTTCTCCGAAAACTGCCCAGGAGTGGCTACCCAGGTGGGTGAAAAAAATAAAAAATAAATAAAAAATTCCGGAACGAAATTCACATCTCCCAAAAACGAGATTCAGTGTTCTCCACAACCCCGGGGAGATAGAGCTTCAAATTTGCTGGAGCGATTCTGTGCTGAGAGAGGAAAAAGCACGCCAAATTTCATTCCTGTTGTTGCTCTCAGAGAGGAATGATGTCGCCGGAAGGGGTTGAAGAAAGGTAATGGGCGCTACCGCGCCCATTGATTCAAATGCAACGGTTGAGACTTTTCATTTATTACTCCACTATGATCCAGGTCGCACTCCACTTTGGCCCGGGTATGGGGCAAAGTGGAACGGTTTAGATGATGGTGGAAAAAGAAGTGAAAATTCAGATTCATTCATGACCATCCTAAATTCACAATGACTATTTACTGAGCATACTTTAAGGTATATCTGCCCGTCGGGAATTTTTTTGTAACGTTTATGAGCCTAAGGGTGGACTTTTGAACAGAGAACTATCCGACAATGCAACCTTATTCCAGGGAAAATGCAGACAATACGTGCTGAATAGCGAACGCTTTTCGTGGAGACAGGAATTTTGCGACAACCGGATCTGGAAATCTCGAATAGATTTTGTGTGCCAGGCATGACTCACAGTTATGCCTGGATCGACGCCTTGCACGTGGCAATGCCCCGGAATGCCAGGGCAAATGCAAATACAAAATCAACGGACGAATCTCCCATCGCCAAAACAAGGAATCCCGCCATTTGTCCCCAAATGTGGTTATTCGAGAATCTCGGCCCAGGCCTGGAAGAGCTGTGACTTCAAACTTCCTCATGGATTCCCAGATCATCCTTCCCCTCCAGTGCAATCGCATGCACACATTTCTCGTGCTTCGTCCGGAACCTGAGCGAAGCGTGGAGCCAAGACTTGCCATCATGTCATCCAAGGCGTGTAATTTAAAGGTGATAACCAATGTTCACTTTTCCTAGCCTTGGTTCCAGCAGACTGATCTGGTTCAGAGTTACGAAGTAAACTCCTTCGGCGCTGACGTAACAAACCAATACATTTTGGATGGACAATTTTGCATTCTGAAGAGAATGCACTTCTTGGCCTGTGCGAGAAGTGTTGCTCAGAAAATCGTCCCAAATTGATAACTATGAAGTTTCACGGTATGTGCTAGATCCAGATTCTGAACGAACGAGTCACGAAAACGACCCTTCCTCGCTATCACCCATATGGTTTGTAGTCTAGCTTATTTTGTTTGGTTTGGTTTCATTTCTATATTCATTTTCGGATTTCTTAGCTTCTCGCCTTTCTTCCTTTTGTTTTTAGTTGATTTTCCTTTCGCTTATTATTTTTATTTTTTCCGATCTATTTCCTTTCCCCATTCTTGCTTATTTCTCCTGCAGCAGCATCTCCTGCATTCTCCTATACCCCTCATGAGTCCCCCCCCCCTATTTACTACTGACCTCAATCTTTGACTAAAGTTTAACGAGGACGGAAAAAAAATGGACTTGTACTTGCGCCACCTGGGAAGTGAAGGGGTAGGGGTAGCACGGAGGACAAACAGATGAGAATGCAGCTGATACCGTTGTGGCACGCGCGTGACTCGCGCAAATGCCATACGCGCGACTTTCCCAAATACCACGCGCGTGACTTGATGGGTACTGATATATCCCCTCTCCCGAATCGCATCCGCGGTTCCCAGAACCTCCTGGACGACGAGACTGGCCCAGTCAAAGGTCTGCAGGCTCACGATAGGCAGTGGGTACGTCCCAACGAGACAGTGTAAGTAGTGTACGATCGAATGGATCCATTCCTGACTGGGTGACACGATCTGCCTCTAGAGGTGAGTGGCATGCGAACCTTGGGGCTGAAAGTGGCTGATAGAGGGTGCTGGACTGTGAATGGGATACAGAAAGGGGCTTCAATAATTCTCAGTATGCTTCACAAGGTGAATGGGAATTCCTTCTAGGAATTCCTTACGTTATTTCGACCTTCATTCCCGATGACATCGCTCGTGTCATCTAGTTTGGATCAGCCAGATAGGCCTAGGTCTCCTGAAAAGTATAATTCTATGCTAGCCATTTTGAATATACTTATAGTCCTAAGATCCTAACTCTACTGAAATGCCATATTGCATTCATTGCCTTATCGGGATGTCTCAGAAACACTGACATAGACACCCATCCACCTGATTGGTCCCATAAGTCCAGGAGCCCGTTCCTCGCCTTGCTAAACTTAAATCTAAATCTTAGGTTAAATCTTAGTCTAAAGGGTCAGGGTGAAGAATAGACTTTTTCCTTTAAGACTGCTAGACTTTAGATTTAGATTTAAGTTTAGCAGAGGTGAGGAACAGGCGCCAGATTACGGATTGCTTGGAACAAGGAAAGGCAAGCCTACGCCTGACATAAGGTTCGTGAGTTAGGCTTAAGCGTAACGTTAGGGAGTCCTCCAGGGGAAAGGGTTGAATAAGGGGAAAAGCGGGTGAAAAATAAGTTTCGTACGACCTCATTTGATAAATGATAAATGGCTTCATCATTTTCTGCCAATAAAAGCCAATGTACGAGGGTCAGTCGACTGAAAACAGGACATTATTTTTTTTCTCCAAAACATCTTCGCAACCGTATTTTTTCATGTGCCGTTTTCTCTGTCGGCATGTTCCCTAGGAGCATGCACAGCTTTTTTTTCTCTGTCTGCACTCTTTTACAGCATGAGATTCTTTCAAACATGGCCTCCGAGGTGTTGATTTGCACCAAGGAAGAGATACGTTCTGTGATCTGTTTCCTTGTTGCTGAAGGCATTAATGGTAAATGAAATTCATCAGAGACTCAAAGCTGTGTATGGTGATCACTGCATTGCAAGGAGCAACGTCTACGAGTGGGTGCAGAAGTTTCAAAGTGGAATAACAATTATGTAGGATGCTCCGCGCCCGGGCCAAGCGCACTGCGTAGTGACGTCGGAGACCGTAGCACGCGCCGAGGAAGTGAAACAGGATCGGCGAATGACGCTAGATGAAATCGCTGCCAACCTGGGTATAAGTCATGGCTCTACCCACCATATCGTTCACGAGATGCTGGGATTCAATAAAGTGTGTGCGAAATGGATCCCCCGTCTACTGACGGAAGAGATGAAAAGCCAGCACGAAACCAGTGCGGTTTCCCTGATGAGCCGTTTCGAAGCTGAAGGAGATGCTTTCCTTTCACGAATTGTGACAGGAGATGAGACATGGGTCCACTACCACACACCAGAGAGCACACGAGCCAGTATGGAATGGAGGCACAAGACCTCTCTTCGCCTCAAGAAATGCAAGATCGTTGCATCTGCCGGAAAATTGATGCTGGCCATTTTTTGGGACACGAATGGCGTTCTTGTGAGTCACTACCAACCTCGCGGGGTTACCGTAACCAGGGACACGTACTCACAGCTGCTGCGAGATGAACTGAAGCCTGCAGTTCGAACAAAACGTCGTGGTCTCCTCAAGAAAGGAGTACTTCTCCACAGCAATGCTCATCCCCACACTGCTCGACAGACTGTAGAAACCATTACAGATCTCGGATTTGAAGTTCTTCCGCATCCGCCATACAGCCCGGACTTAGCCCCTAGTGATTTTCACCTCTNGTTGCCCTGGACCGTCACATGGGTGGAAAGCAGTACGCCAACCAAGACGACCTGAAAACCGATTTGGCCAACTTTTTCGTAGCGCAGCCGCCAGAGTTCTATTGGAATGGCATCCATAGTTTGCATAAACGTTGGCGTGAAGTGATAGAGGCCAATGGTGATTACATTCATGATTGAGATGATTTTGCTTTTAAATAAACTGGGTTGTAATAATTGTTCAAGAAATTCCGAGAACTTTCTTTCCAATCAGATAAGAAATCTTGTTGAGTTAGAGCCTGGTCCTTCTCCTCCTTGGAGACGCAGACCTACTTCATCCTCCTTTGATTACTCGTCAAAGCCAACTCCTTCAGTCCTTACGAGAAAATCATCCTCGAAACCCTGACCTTCATCACACTCACACTTCGACTTTTTCAAGGGAGAGTCCAAGTCACTGCAGCGAACAGGGGCAGCTCCTTCTATTCTTCTTGGGCTTCATCTCCCTCACAAGGCGTCAATCGGCTACACTCTTCACGCACACATCCCAAATGTCTCTTAGCTCGGGTCTCAGTGGGGATGAAGTAATTCTCAGGACCAACATCGCTTCGTGAATCACTTCGAAATTCGCACACTCTTACTACTTCATATTTAAACATTTTATTAGAACATTAACGAAAAGTGGTATTGATAAGATGTGGTGTAAGAAGTAGTGAAGGCCTAAATATGAAATGTGGTGTATCTGTGAATGTAACCTTGTTATACTTCTCAAACGAGTTTCGGTGTCATCTGTGAAACATTTCTTCCTAAGAAGAATTTCTAGGTGTTGCCCGATAGCTTATTCTCCGCAAGTGATACACTTAAAATTTGAATAACAATATTGGGGTAAACATCTTTTCAGAGGTCAAAAGTTCTTAAAAAGTCCTTGACATGCATTTGAATCTAACTCAATCTCTATCTGCATGTGACATTTATTTGTGATCAGATTGATCACAAATTCTTTCTGCTGATGCGTGAGACTGACAGACTGGATGGATTTATTCGTGATCTCATTTTTATTTGAAAAGGAGGCACAAAAATGATATCAGTCTCTGTCGCAAGCGATTCACTTGACTTCCTCCATCCGTTGGAAAAGGCGAGGCATTGAGGCATTAGTTCAACCGCAATAATAATCACTCACCGGCAAAACAGGATTGTCGAGTTCCCTGAGTGATCCAGTTGTCCGCGAGGCAGAGTTGGGATTTCTGACGAACTACAGTGACAACACCTCTCAGATGTCGATGTGAACAATATTTGCTTCGTTAACTTGAATCGAAGAACTGTATTTCCTGCAACCGTACAGGAAACTATTAATAGTGAAGGTGGCACAAGAAGTTGATTATCGTCCATACAAGACTCTGCGAGGATTACTTTGTCCAAAAACCTGTCCAAAAACCTGGGAAACGTGACTTCTGGCAAAGGGAGGCGATCGATCGCATTATAGTCCTTGATTCGGCACGGAATTCCTATCGGAGATTCTCCTTTAATCTATATTATCCCCAAGGATCAACGAATTCTACAAGGTTTTGTGCGACAGAAGGACAAGGAGGGTACCACGACCAGGTGATTCGAAACCTGGAGGATGGAGGCTGAGGACTACGAGGCATGGAAGAGATATCACTGGAAGAGCAAGACCTGTTCCATTGTCCTTCTGGGCTTCTGGCTCTTTGGTCTCGTCGGCATGGTTACCTGCTTCATCATGATGCTGCCCGTCGAGGAGTTCGTACTCCTGGTCGTTGCTGTCCTCGGGCCGATCTTGATTCTCAAGGTCCCTGTACTAATATACTGTTTTGACAAGCAATACCGGGAACCTCGGGTGAGTTTCGCATGGTATGCTGTCATATTATTTTCTGTGGAAGAACATATTAATAAGACTAACTTTTATGTCTGCATATTGTAAACACATGAAACGGAACTTTCGGAAATTGCATAGTATAATAAGGGTCTCTATAGTTATAATTTTGAATGTGATGCGCTAAATTATAACTGCTTTTTGAGGGCTTTAAAGTATATCCTTTGCCCCCCAAAAAACTGAACTTGAAACAAGAATTTCATCTTCTTCGGTTAATAAGGCTTATTCTCTTCCCTTTCATCTATCCAAATTCTGGGCCGCGATCAAAGTGAAGCCAATGTCATAAAGGTTATCGTCAACTACTTTGTTTTCGTACTTTGGTTTACTGTTTTCTAAAGGGACGTGGTAGAAGACATAATATGAATAATATTTGAAAACAGGTTTTCCCAACGATTTTGGGAACATACCATTTCAAATGTGACTTCGACCGTTTCTGCGGTACTAGTTAGTCTATAGACCAGGTCATCCATGTGCTAATCCTCTGGCATTCATCGATGTCGATGCACATAATTTTGAGCCTTTCAGGATGGCTTGCATGGAGAACTGGCCACGCCTTCATGAGTCGGCCTGACGAAATAAAAAAAAGACAATTGTCGAAATTGAAATTATCGTGACCGCATTTGATTGTAATTCTGCCGAATATCGTGCAGAAAATCAATAATGTAAAAGAAGAAATCGCTTTTTGCAATCGTTCCTAATTGTTCATCGCATATTCATATTCATATAAGACATACTCATAAACTCACAGAGTTAGACAATAAGTCTTACTTCCGTGGTTTATTTGAAAATTTATATTTTTTCCAAAGAAGATCTTGATCTGAAAGACCGGTCTTTCGCTAAATGGAAGACACCAAATCTCTTTCCTATAATTTTACTAGGGCAATGAGTGAAATTCAAAACTAACCAAGAAAGTACGACTACAAGTCGTAAATAGGGTATTTCGGCTGTGCTTTTTTTGATCAAGTTTGATTTCCTTTCCATGCTCATCCTATTTTTTTTTTTTTTAGTGCCGTGCAGCTGGAGTGGATCCGGATCTGTACATGCTCCCGAAAGTCCCATACCTATTCCTAAAAGGGGGGATGAATCTAACTCCGAATCGAACCTGGTATGTGGCGATGCCCCAGGATGCGACAGTCCTTGGAGAATGGGGAAAAGGGGTGAAATGCCACGTGCACCGTGACGCCATGGACATGGTCCTGGGGAAATCCTGGTACTTGAAGACGCCCTCTCCAGAGCCGGAACAGGGAATCCCGCCCTTCTTCCTCAAAACCAGCTTCTCGAAAGTCCAGCATTTACCCGACATGGTGGAGATCGTCCTCACCGACTCCCCGGTCGTCCTTCATCACCTAAGTCGTGCATCCTGGACTCAGACGCATCGGACGTATCCTGGGAGGCCAGAAATTCCCTCCATTTCGTCGAGGGTGCAGCACCAACAAGAATTCAACAGGAACGGTACTCGGCTCGACTTCGAGTTACCGAGAATAATCAAGTCCGACCTGCCCCCAAGTTACGAGGAAGCGATGCAGATCTCGGCTGCAAAGAAATCGACGACTGATGAGTGAATGGAGATGACGATTTATAAATCCCTTGGTGAAGGTGTTCATTAGTTTTTGAAACGGGCTTTCGTCTTTGAGGGTCGCATGTCTTCCGAATTGGTATTAACGTTCACAGACTCTGAAAGTGGAATTCATTTCCCAAAGTCTATCTAATCAAGATGATGGCAGAATTAAGGAAAGGGAAATACTTTTTGCCAATTCCTCCTCTCGTAGAAATGTAAATCGTATTTCGCTTTCGGATACGAAAAGCCATTTCGGGGCAAATCAGTTGGTTCTTCTTCAAATCTCCTTTCTTTTTTTTGCACTGGAAATGGTTGAAGATCGAGGACCGCCAAAGCGATCTGACGGAGTGATACGCACTTTTGGTTTGTGCGATATAGATGACTCACAAGGCACGATCGTGAGGGACAAATACTTGCAATCCACAGGATTTTATCTAGGAAAAATATTGGTGGAGTGACATGCGAGGCACCGAGGCACATGCCTAAGATGAATCCCCCGCGCAGGATCCGCATGTTTTTCACGATCACAATCGGAAAAACGTGTCCAGTTCTTGGATGCGGAAACCAATGAATAAACCAGAAGGCATTCGTCCGTGACCTTTCGGTATCCTGCGAAGTACATCGGGGCTTCGTGTCCTCCGACTCGCAACCGATTTTTCGACCCGTTCCACGAACCACTTCGGCGGATACGACTTATTTTCCGCTCACCTGGAGTTTTTATCGCCATCTCAACTCGGACGTCTGGGAATAAACCGGTTCCAAATGCGTGTCGAGCGCCATCTTCGAACTCGCCCGATCGCATAAACCCAGCAGAAAATGCGTGGAAAAACAGAAGCACGACTCCGAGTCGACATCCAGCAGTAGTAGATGATGGATATCTAGCCCACACGACTAGCCCAAATAAATACCCTCATGAATTTTTCGTTGAGATACGAGGAAAGGATTTCTACGGGAATACCACATATCTCTCCATTTGTCGTGTTATCTCTTCCGAAGGCCACCCAGGTGGGAGGGGGAAATAATACCGGATTTTTACATAAAAAACCCAATAATATTCCCTTTTCTATGCAACCTCTGGGGAGATGAAGCATGAGACTCGCTGGAGAGATTCTGCGTCCCTAAAAGGCCATGCTACGAAGCATGACCTTTAATGAAGGAGAATAGGAGCAACCAACGCCTATTTTTACGTGCCAGTAGCGAGTGATGATCCAGAATGCGTTGTAAATTGGGTATCCAATTCATTTTAGATGAAAGTCTCGAATCGTATTGCTTCCAAATGTAAAGTGACGAACATAAAAGTGCATAGAATAAAGGCAAAATGGAAAATAAAATACTTTGGGATTATTGTAAATATCTAATACTAAAGTTGCGGTGGTGGTTGTCACCCCAACGCGCGAGGCCTACGAGACTAATCATTTTAGGCCATAGGCTAGGCCATCCACCCCTCAAAGCGCCAGGTCCATGAGGCTATGCTATTCTTGGCCAAAGGCTTGGCCATCCAACGTTTTTAGCACCAGGTCCATCGGGCTATATCAATCTGAGCTGTGGCTCATCCATGTTATTTCCATAGGCTTCATACTTAGTAGCACCCTTTGATTGACACAGCTAACTGAATGCGTGTCACGTTTTTACTGATCGACTGCAAGTTCTCCATTTCAATACATTCTTTGCTGAAGTATTTTTTTTTCTGTATGTATTTTGTTTCGTTAGGTCAGGCGTGGCGATTCGGGCCATCGCTTCCATGCAATAGTTTTCTATTTGCGTTTCATGTCATGGCCGATTTATTTGAGTTCTCGCGATTGATGAAATCAAAATAATAACGTAAGTTCTTTGTTTCATACGTCGCACAACGGGGGCCGCTCCTCCCATCAAAATGGTGGCGATTTTTGTGAGGTGAGGTTGAACGCGAAGAAGAAATGTTGAAGGAGGTCCTACAGAACGGCGATGAGGCAGTTGTTGCTGGTAAAAAACGGTTGGTACAGGCGCGGAAACAACGTTTGCCACTGCAGTTGCGGTGCGAAGTGCCTAAATCGGTGCTAGCCGTAATGGCTAGAATGAGTGATTAACAGCAAGCACATGTACGTAGGGAGCTTAGGGCCGCTCAGACAGCTGAACTGCAAGAGGCAGCGAATACTAAGCTCCGGAATAGGAGAGCCGTGCAGCCTGCTGAGCAAGTTGATGCAAGGAACGCAGCACTCAGGTGTCGAAAGCCGGGGGGGGGGAATTGAACCCGGACCTCCTGCTTGCCGGTCAGATGTGCTACCATACCATTACACCACGGAACTCAGGATTTTATGCCTCTCCATCACTACAGCCGTTTGCCGCAGCGAGCACTGTCAGGCTGTCCATTTTGATGTAGGGAGGGGGCATCTATTTCACATTGCTGGCGCAACGGAAAAATGCTCCTACTGCAACTCACACTTTACCCTGAGGCTCCGAAAGTGTTGCTCACTGGTGCTAATGTGGCGGCGAGGCATTTTTAGGAATCAGTCGATAGCATTGTGCCGCACGTGCACTAACTTCCCCCCTGTGGCGTCGTACAAGTTCTTGGAAATGGTCCGTACGGTTTCAGAATCATTGGTGTCTGTACCATACGCTAACGCTAATTGCCCATGCGCTAATCGGTGATGCAAGAGTATTGAATGTGCTAGGAAGACGAAATCAGCGAAGTCTTGAGTCTCGTGAAAACGTGCTAAACCGAGGCGTTCACGTGTATTAATGTAATGAAGCGGTTCACTTCCGAATGGGTAATGCGATGAACAGAGGATTGTCAAGGAGACGTTATGCTTACAATAGACAAATCAAATTTTCACCTATTAGACGGCCAGCTTAGCGGCCGCAGGCCGCTAGTTCCTATATATTAAGAACGTAATGGAGCTGCGTGCATATGAAGCCTCTGATGCTTGGGCCTGTGTGTATGTCCGCAAGTGCGCCTTTCCGTCGCCATTTTTAAACGGAGAGAATTGACTGAGATTGACGAAATGACTCATTAAATAAATTTTGCCCCCGTCATCATGTATGAAGTTCGCGAGTTTCATCACAAATGGTTAATGACGGATGGCAAAGTTGCATGACGTCATCGATGGCGCCATCACGTTCCTCTTCTTGAAATTAGGTGGTCGTGAAAAAAAAAATCCCTTGCCCCGGCTGATATCTCCCGAATGAATGCGTGATGGCACGAAGAGCCTTTTCCCGAGCCGAATTGCATGATCGTGTGACCTGTGACCTCTTTTTCTTTCAATACCCAAATCCCATAATAAATAATGCGAGGTAAAACCGTACTGCGAACGTAGTCTCCTCCACTTCCTAGACGCCACATTGAAATAATGCTCTGAGGAATGGGAGAACCAGAGAGTCCTCGACCGAAGAAAGGAACGTCCTCTTCCATTCCGTCCTCTTCCATTCTACGTACCCCCCCCCCCCCCCCCCCCCACATTCCATGCACACTCAGCTGACTGTTCCCTCCCCCTCTCGGGATGGGTTGCGGGGTATGCGATTCTGTGTGTATTCGTCCTTCGACCGACTCGTTCGCGAGTACCTGCCGACCAGGTATGTGGATCCGTGTCGCGGAAGTCATGCGGGAAGTTATTCTTCGTCTCCGGCTCTCATTTTATCGCTTCGTCTCGGAAAGTACGAGAACAGCGATGAATCGAGGAAGGTTTGTATTTCGAAAAATGTAGCTACATTTGCATTGCACGTTCCCCGTCGACAGTCGATTTCGGTCGCACGAAATGGCCATCCGCATCTTTTCCTCGCGTTTCTCCATACGGAGGAATTCGCTTCTCTCCGTAGTCGAGAACTTCACTTTATTTGAGGATTTGTCGTTTTATTTGAGGATGCAAGGGCGACAGAGAGAGGAGATGTACTCTTATCAGGAATCGTCATAGGAAGTCTTCCGAATCCTAATGAGTTAACAAATCTTTTTTCCCCGTCCCCTTCATGAGAGAAGCGGAGATATCTAGAATTAAACTGCTAACAATCTGAAATTGCACCTTGTTTCCAATTCCAATTTCCAATTTGAGATTCCAATTTCTAATAGCATTGATTTTCACCTTCTTGGTAGGATATAAATAGGACCATCATGCTTTCTGATGAGTGAGTGAAAGTGATGAGAGGAGTGAAATGGATATGCTACACTCTGATGAGAGATCTAAATGATGCAATACATTCCTGTAGCACATTTCTTCTTTCTATTCCTGAAACTAAACTGAACCCTAAGGTGCCCCACACTCAGTTGTTAATGGATCACTTTGCAAGGACTGATGGTAATTATGTTGCCTGTTCTTCAGGTATTTACAAACTTTTCAAGTGCATTTCCCCTTACTCCATAGTTTTCACCTTCCTCAGAAATATTTCATGGTCAATAGCATCAATGCTTTATTTTTTCATCTTTCAACGTGATCACAAGATCAGTTATCACAGTGACATTGAAGAAATTCTTCAAATCAAATCACAATAGTAACAAGCACCAAGCAAGAAAACATTTGGCAAATTATAAGGCTACACTACAGATACAGATACTATCCAATCCATGAATTCAAATTTTATATTCCACTTTCACCAATAAAATACATTTTAGAAAAATTGCAATGAACAAAATCAACAAGGCCTAGACCGGAACAAAAAGAGGATTTCAAAGCTCAGTTCAATCCATGGCCACAATGGCCAGGACTTTCCCATCTAAAACTCTATGCCCGCGGATCGCGTATTTTTCAAATCTAAGGGAAACTTGAACAAATGGAGCCCATTTCTGCTCCTGTTAGAGGAGTTTGGGACCGAACATCCGGGCAATTCAATGCTAAGTAGGCGGAACGGGACCGAAATGCTGAAGGTTTTTAAAGGATACACGACTTCCTATGGAAGAAAAAGAGGTCCTCAGCTTAAAGACCCCTTTATATACCTAAATGATCCATTCAGACCTTATTATTTTGACACTTCTGAAAGAGTTCCTTGCCCTCCCCTTTCTTCCTCTCCCTACGTTTCTTAGGAACTATCCTTGGGATT